TTTTAAAGGAAGTGGTCACGATAATTTTCATGGGAACGATAAGGGAAGCTATGTATTGGAGTGGATAGAGGTCCTGCCCAGTGTTACAACACGTGAAGTTTCAGTGGCAGTGGCGCCTTATCAACGGAGTGATAAGGCGCCGAAATCCACTTCCGTTCAGCAAAAACCAAGACTTATCGATGTGGAAAGGGGTGCGATAAGAGCGTGCTAGATATGATACCGTTATCGTTATCGTCCCGTTTTCATTCTGGAGTGCACCTCTTATCAAGCAGCCGCACCTTCTTATCTCATCGTATCATATCTTCCATGGGCTTACACTCGTCCAACAATTACTGCCTCACACCTTATCGATTGATAACGCGAGGGTAGCAAATCCAGCGTGGAAGCCAGCGTGACCGCTTCCTTTAAGCGGGAAGTACATGCACGTTTCACGCATGCAAGTGATACCAAATGGAGTCGAATCCGTGGCGTATCTCAAGATTGATCATCGCTAAGAGCTTTCATCCTTTGACATTTTTCAGATTCCTGTCGCAACACACTACCATGTCAACAGGGTGGTTATCCGGATCCGAATGCATGTCACCGTTGCTTGTGTCCGACAGGATTAGGCGGCACATATTGTGAAAAGTTGCAGCAGCACTCAAGTAAGTGTGGGGTTTTATACCAAGTATGAGACTGATTTTCCAAAGCTGGTGAGCATTCCTTCCGATTAGGCCATCTGAAGAGTGCAAGCTCAAGCATCAATCTCAGTTTACATATTATGACAGTTATTAAGGCTGTGGAGTCGAATTGGTAGCTACAGATTCCTGGCAGGATCTATCCTATTCTGGAGCGTCGTCATGCTACTGGCGTATAAAAACGGTGGGCATCTTGATTACAAATGTGTGTAGAATACTTACTTAGGACACCTAGGCGACCGTCCGTCGGAATGGCGGTTGGCCTTGCACGCGTCCCAACTTCTCTTCCATTGTTCTCGATCTTGAGCCTTAGTTGACCAGTGAATGATCACCTTAGGGATACAGAGATACATACATATGTTGTTACGATATGCCAGAGAGTCTGTTAACGTGCAGGAGGACGGCCTGGCGGTTGTTTCTTTTCACGCAGGTACCATGTGTGTAGATTAGAACTCCAAAACCCTTGCCTCATGCACATTCTCATACACATTCAGTGTCAATCACGAAGAAATGTACAGTGGGTAATCGAAATTGACTCGGGGGTTTCCGGGGCGCTAGGTTCCAACTTCGAAGAAAAGCAACAAAACCCCCTGAATAAAATCTTACTTTTCGCAACTGCTGTTGAGCATTGTAAAAGCACATGGTATAGCGATACTGGACGAGAAAGCAGACGCTGAAGGGACGACGGATGACATAAAATTTGAAGCGGAATCACTTGTGCACCATAGTACCCCAACGTGTTTTCTACACTTTTGAGCCGCGAAATGAGTGCGATCTCTACAGATTGGTCCACTTATTGTTCACACCTAAGAAACTTCAATCACCTTATTGTGTGGTGTAAATTTAATTGTTTTCTTCTCTCCAACATGCATATCATTGAGGGGGCCAGCGGCTTAAAGGAATCTTGCGCGGAAAATTCTTGCACTCTTTCCTAACATGAATATGTCAGTTGTGATCACTGGAAATAGCACACAAAGTTTCACGCATGAAGATTCGGTTTCTGAAGAGAAACAAACGTACAAAAACTACACGTTATGGACCATCGAAGGACCAGGAGGCAGAGCCAGGCGAGGCATGGAAAGAAGACGGCGTTTGGCCGGCTACGTACCAGGCGACGCAATGAGAGAATCGGGTTAAAGCGCGCGATTTCGGAGAGTGGAGACAAATCGATCGATGGAATAGGATGGAGTAGAAGTGTAAGATGTGAATGCAACGAAGCAGAAGGCCAGAAAGAGCTTCTAGTGAATGCACTCCAAGTTTGAGCATCCCCGTCGCCAGCATTCGTGAAAGACGTCCGTGGGCAATTCGAACGCGTAGCAGCCTTTTCGAGTTTTCGAATTTCTAATCAAAACGAAAGCAATACTTCAGTTCTTTTCACTATTATCGTGGATAATGAGTCTCAAGCCAGTGATTTATGGCTGAAATAGAATCATGATTTTTCCGCGCAAGATTCCTTTAAGGAAAAATAAAAAAAGGCTTATGCTGCCAACCGTATCTCCTCCCTCGACGCATGGAGGTTGATCCCGTTTTCAACGAAAATGAGATGTTTTATGAGTTTTGAATGCAGTGTCACTACATTGCCTTCATGTCTTTCGATAGCTCCGGAATATCAACATACACCAAATTCAAGCGTATTCTTACACCAGGAAAACATGGAACTCAGATATACATACAGGGGGAGGGTAAAAAGTCACGCCTATCCACATTCAAAGCAGGATTGAGTACACTTCGTCAAAACCAAGCAGAATCAGCCCAGCTGCACATTGAAGAGCACATTCTACTCTATCAAAAAATTTACCTTAGGGATAATATCGGAAAGTCTTCCCTACGGAAACCATTGGTGTACGTGGCGCGAGTTCAACGACGGTTGTTGAGATACCATAGACTATTACGATGTCTGTGAAACGTTGGTCAAAAGCAGTGTTGCATAGTCACAGCTAGTCTCCCTAAGAAGCCCATTCACCAATTATAGGAGTGAGGAAATTATGCAGCAGCTTCAGAATGGAGTGATATCCATCGTATAGGCGCACTCCTTCTGGAGCCTCTGCGACAGGTAATGATCAACATCGACGGATTATATTCTGAAGCACGGTGAGAGAGAGGCGACGTGACACTGGACGCGTGCCTCCTGAGAGGAACACTCCTGAGAAATATTTGTGTCCCGTAACCAGTTCCGAAGCAGAATATAGCACCCCTTCGCTCCGGCAAGCTTTAGAAGCAACAAATAGTCGGCTCGAACTTAGGGGGGTGACTTCTATGGCTCATTCGAAACTGAGCTATAGAGATTGCGGAAGTCGGAACGCACAGTGTGAAGAGCGTCGAACAAAAGACTGAGAAAAGAACCGTCGACAAGGCCGTTAACAAAACCCTCTTTCCCACTAGCAGTGAAGGAGGCTGGCTTGGGAAAGAGGCACGTACAAACAAGTTTTCTGGAGATGTCAGTCGTTCTATCGGTTGATACGGCAATCAACCTAGCTGATTTCACACGTTATGCCAGCCACGCACCACTTCCGGAGGTGGGCGGTCCTGGATTGACCAGGCGGCCCTGGATTGAAACCGAACGCCCCGGGGCCTTAACGGGGTTTTTCAAGGTGGGAAGTTGCTGCAATGTGTGCAGCTACCCACATACAACCTCCAGGCACGGGAATTACTTCTCTAGCGTGCCTGAGCCCGACCTTGCCTTTATGATATGCCACCATGGAAAAGTGACTCATTTTTACTCCCGCCTCCACGTCTACTGAAGTCACCAAAACCATTTCTTCACTGTACTGGCACTCCTTAAAGGAATCTTCCGCGAAAAGCTCCGCCTCCATTACCACAGAAAAACGACCCCTTAGGCCCCTAGCCTCATGAGCATAGCAAAAAGAACGGAACATAAGCGTTAGTTTCGATAATACTAATCCTACACACAAGACAAAATGATCACTCTTTCCGTGGAAGATTCCTTTAAGGTATCGTTTTCTGTGGTAATGAGGGCGGAGCTTTTTCCGTGGAGGATTCCTTTAATTTTGCTGAATCTCTGATCTATTCTCGAAATTCATTTCATTTCTGTACCTACACTCTACAATATGCACAAACATTAAAACGCGCTAGACGTCGCGGGCGACATTGTTGTCGAGCTTTTGAACAAAGCTGCTGGACTACAGGGCAGAGCATGGTATAAACTTTCAATTTTCTGGCTCTTAGCAACTGCAAATTATTCTGTTTTCAGTGACAGTGTGCCCCTTACATCATCGTCCATTTACAGGATCCTGGCGACCGTATCCGATTCGAGTTGACCACTGTCTTCTTCAAATGTGCTCCGACATGCGAAGAATTCGTGGAAGTATGTTGCAAAAGGCTTGTTACGATCAGAGTAAAGCGTAGTCGAGGATTCCTTGACAGAGAATCGTCCTTGCCTGGGTGAGGGGAGCGGGGAAAGGATCATAGATATGGGGCAGGGATCGCTTTGTTGAAATTTCCCTCGACAACTGGATCGCGCTTTTGAGAACACTGCATTATTCCTCTAGTACCAATACTAGAATGAGCGCCATTTGAAGACATTTCGATTTCAAGGTGAAGTTCGGGCCAAGTCACGACCGAACGGGACTTCGTGAATGTTGCCGTGCTGAGTACGGTGAGATTCTATCCCAAAGTGACTCCATCCTTGTTCTTACACTGGCCACAACGAATTCACAATTCGCTCTTCGTTACCGGCGAGGTCAGTAACTTTATCACACCTTGGACTGTAGCAAGGTTTAACAAACTTGTAAGCCGCAACATATAATTGAAAATGACCATTTAGAACGTTCAGTCCGTACACCACCTGCAAGAAGTCCTCAAAATCGAGGTATGTCCCATATTGCAGCTCTGCTCCGAAACTTGGCACTTTGGATCGTGCTAAGTCCAGATCACGTTTTCGTAGGTGTTGAATCAGCTTTTCTTGGCGACAATCCGATCAATTCCCTTTTTTTCACAGAACTTAGGCCTCCAAACACACGCTTCCTAGAACAGAGAAAACGTCCCTTCGTGGTGTAGTCTGAGATTTCTCATAAGTTCGCGGCCATGCGAAAAATAATATAAATTGAATCACAGAACATTGAGCAATGACATGAAAGTGTAAGTATTAGGGCCGCTGAGAATGCCAACGAAGCCCTCTGACCACTTTGTATGCCCTAGGCTCTCGTAATGTTTGTTTTTCAGCCAAAGAGTACAATACTTTGTTGAAAATTGCAAATATCCAGGGTCTCACCTAAAAACATCTTATACCGAGTTCAATAAACCAAAAGGAATTTAGTATATGAAAGTTCTAAATCAAAAGGAGCGAGTGAGTTATGATCAATGGGCTCTCTTTGGTTCGCAGATATTAGGCGTGACAGACAATGCGAGAGTTAGGAATATTATGGCATTCAGAGAGAGCTTGAAAAGGGAGCGGTACGCACTAAACTCTTAAAGCTTTACATGTATGCTGGGTTTTCCACACGGCCTCTCAAAATCATCACCGGCCTCGCACAAAACCACTATCGCCTCCGTTGCCCATGTTTATACGGACCTAACTACAGGGATGCCTAACCAACAGCCTAAACGCAGCATTTTCTCCCGCGAGAATGCTATGTAAAAAATGGTGTTCAAATCGACTAGTTGATTTCACCAAAAGAACGAGATGGCGTTGTCTGGACTAAACTAGGGCTTCACACGAAAAATTAAGTCGTGTCAGCAGCATGAAGAGACTCCATCCTCTGAGCTCCTGCACTTTATTCACTCCGGTTACAACAACATACGGATTCCGCTGATTGCTTCAATATACCCATTCCCACCAGCTTCGTAGTTCCACTAACGCTCGACCCAAGCGCGCGAGCAAACGGAGAGCCCGAGCGCCGCACTTATGCGGCCAGTGCACAATTTCTGCGGCGGGCGGGCCGCAGACCTTTTTTCGAACAGAAGTAAAATTCCCGAGGTCTTCACCATTCTAGCAACTCCCTCCACTCTATTTATACTCTGGCTTCGTTACTGAATCAATATACCACCATAATTGATGCTGAACTGAAGGATATTTTACTTCCAAGAATACTGGCGCAACGATCTAGCTAGTTCCTGCTTAAAGCAAAAATGATTTTCGTTCCATAGTTCCGAAGTCACCGTTTCTACACTTCGATCTTGCCTTTACCGACTAAGATAACGGTCCGGTTACTGGTCGGCTGCGCATATACTTTAAATCGGTGTTTTCATTTCACATACTCAAGAAAGAGTAGAAGGGCACATAAAAGCAGAATATGAGCATAAATACTGCAATTTTTTCTATGTAAAGCCTAGAAAAATTCATACTTTTACCGGTGAAATGCCTTAATCAAAGATGCGCCATTGAAAACTAGCTGCACCACGTTAATGAAATTATCGGACACGTTGGCAAATTGTGATAGCCGACAGGAATTGAATGGCTCCCCGGAGCCTAAAACAACCAAAGTGTTACAGCTACAACGCCATGATAGGGAAACTCCCAGTTCGGGGGGGGGGGCGGATGTCACCTTCCATTTGACTTATCTTTATCTCGATCAGTAACTTACAGAGGCAGTCTACATTTGGGCTATCGAACACTACGATAGAATGTAGATAAGATGAATCCGACTTCATTTTTCGAGCGTGACTCACGTTTTGATAAGCGTTACCTTTCGTCATAGGTGGACTGTCCTATTAATCTTCCACACTAGCCTTGCTCTCCAGGACATACCAATAGACCACTTTCAATGCAAGGTGCACGCCCAATGCGCTGGAACCCCCACTCCTGCAGCCTTTAGTGCGCTTTGCGAAGGTCGTCTTTCTCCCACTGTATCTCGTACGCGAGGGACCGGGTCCCTCCGCTATAGAAGGCATCGCGAATGTTGATAAACGGATTCAAGGCGTTTCTTGTCTAACCGCGTGACCAGCGACTTACACTCCCGAGAGTTTACTAAACGAGATGAGCGTGGTCCTATCTTAGAATTGAGGTCGATTACCGTGTCGTGACCCACTAATAACTGATATTGTTGAGTAAGTATATATGGAGACAAAAAAAATGGAGTTCTCTCAAAACGAATCCCCCCCTCCCCCCGCCTGGAGTCACGACTTGTCGTTTATATCATCCGTTTTGCGCGCGCATAAATATCCTAACTATTAACATTTGCGCGTAGGTTATTGGCTGTGACGTCCAGATTTTTGGAGAAGCTAGAAGCGCAAAAAGTTTTGCCTCCCATGCATTGCTTGGAATTTGCTCCGAGAGCTCACAGGTTTTGATGGTCATTGAATCCTTAATCCGCTGTAGAAGGTCAAATATAGACCAGACCCCCAGAAGCAGTGGCTTGTCCATTCACCAGGCCGCGAGTCAAAGCACTACTCACGATTAAGTAATATTCCACCATGTATGAAATATTCTTTTTAAATCCGGTCAAAACATGGCAAAAGCTCCGCTGATTTGGGGGCAACCCAGTACCTGAATGTATATTCCAACGATAATCTCTTGAACAACTCCGAAAGCGTTTCTTGCGACTACTGATTTCACAAAAAATGTATGTTAGTAAGGTCATCGCCAAGGTCGGTGTCGAACATCACTTGTGCCGCGCGTGCCTAATTCTGGAACGTAACTTTCATACGCCTTGATCAGGGTGAATTAGGGGGGGAGGACAGACTTTATCGCTATCCCCACTGTCTCAATTTGCGTCTTCCGTTTCCCAACTTCAAATAACTCTCGGAATGATTCCTTTAAAGGACGAATTCACGATGAAAAAGCAACCCATTTCAAATTAACCTAGGGATGGTGAGTGGTACACGAAAGAAGGAAGAACCATGAGAAACGGCCCAGAACCCGAGAAATGGTACCCCTTCCTTGCCCGTTGATATTGATGCATTGTCTCATCGCTGTGCCCACTTTTCAACAGCATGATAGCCGCTCTCTCAGCTATCTAATCACTCGCCACGTATTGAACTACGGCGAGTGATCAGATGATCGGTGGGCGGAGATCGCCGGACCCGCCAGCTTTGAGGCATGATAGGTCGCCGAGGTCAAATTTTTCCATGCGAATTGCGCGTCAGTTCGCACCCTCAGGAGGTCCGTGGGTCCCTCAACTAGGTCAGTTTCCCTTTCTTCGACCTTCATTCTAATCGTGAATTCCTCCTTTAAAGCCACAGAATTGCCGCAGACGGTCGCGTGGTGTACTTTTCCCGATACACCTGCAACGCAGTTTAAGCCTACGTAAGATAGTTTTGTAAGTGATGAATGAAATAAAATCAACTCTGAATCAAGTACGTGCAAGGAACAGCTTTGATTCTTCTTTCTCTTCCTACAAATACGGCTCAAATGTGCACTGTATTCTTAGCGTATTACGGTCACTTTTTGTCGTGATTTTTCCTAATAAATCTGGATTTTTTGTTGTCCGGCAACATTAAGTTTATCCACGGCTCAATATCGAGCTTGCATTCACACCAATCTTCTGTCGTGGATATGAACCTCGTCAAGTATTATGACATCGTTTTTGGTCTGCTATCGGTCCACGGCTAATTCTCATCAATCCTTACTCAGTGAATAAAATGGCTTGTCTTGATAGGCTTACTGAAGGATACACACGGACTTTAAGCATGTCGTGTACTATTAGCGCTATCATTGACTGAATGCCCAATTTTTGACAGTAACCTAGCGGAGACAAAAGGTCCACTTCAGTGCAGCCTTGCTCCTCATTAGCATTTTTCCCCCTACCCTGCAACCTTCATCTACTTTTTTCGTTCTCTAGACATTCGCTTTGATAAGGAAAAACAAAAGCTCCGTTTGTAAGCGAAAGTAGATCAAGAAAGGCATTGTATACGCTGTGAGTTGTGGTTCTGTTCACATAAAGATGAGCTTCGCTTCAACCTCCTTCAGTCGGAGGAGGAAGTTCGATCAATAACTCAGAATCATCAAACTCTGTTCTGATCTTTTCGCCAACAGCCAGAAAGACTACCATCCACATCTTTACTGCATCATTTCTTTCCTGGAAAGGATGTATAAGCAGTTTGAGAGCAGTCAAAGGGATCTCCGATTGGAGTCAGCCGTCACGTTCGAGACATTTCCGGAATCTTTGGGATCCCCCCCTCTTGAGTGGGTCCTGGTGCAAACCGCCTCCAGTTGCAGTTTAGACGTTTTTATACACATTCATCAAGCGAGGTAACGGTGATTGGTTTGCTAGTGTGATAAAGCTCGAATTCCCGCCGGCAGCCTTGCGGCCTTAGTCAGCCTAAGAGTGCGCCATTTTTCAGCAAGGCTCAGGGAACAGGGCGCGGTAAGAAAAAATATTTCAAAGGGACATAACTTCTTTAAAATAATACATTTTCTAATTACTTAGATAGGTGTTTGCATGATGTCCGCTTCCAGAAGACTACTAACCATAAGTATACCTGGAAAGTGCTTCTGTTACGAAGTGGTCGACCCAAAGTCCTAGGGAAGCAAATGCCTATTTTGAAAGGTCATAACATTCTCGAATGTGGCTTTTGAGAAGTTTCTTGGAACGAAAGAAAAAACTACGGGAGTTTCCTATTTAAAGAGTATCAAAAGTTTTGTGATCCTTCACCTTTTTTGAAAATTACCCCGTTCGCACTTTTTCGTGCGAATGTGGGATTTTGGGCTCCTAGCGACCTTGACTTTCTTCTTGTTCGTTTCTTTGTCAAAATGTTGGCATGGCAAGAAGGTACGGGGTTCTCGCTTTTCAACAACCACC